ACTGTGGCATCGCAGGCAGTCAGGTCCATGGGCCCTGCAGCCTTCAAGGCGAAGGTGAAGGAGATCCTGCAAGACGAGTGACACTGGGTAGACTCACTAAGTTACGGCACTCCGCTCAACACACTGAATGGACTTTCAATCGGAACAGGGCCGGCCTCAGGGAGGAGCTTAGCGCGTCCGAGGCCGCGCTATCTACCAAAGTTGCCAAGTTTCAAAATTTGTTTGTACGGAGTCCCGGCGTACTACCGTAAACTTACTAGTAGTCGCCGGTAACTACAGTGTCCGTACGGTCGTCCGATCACGCCGCCAGGACCCCCCGGCCCGCCGCCGGCCCGGCACTGGCCGTCCGATCCGCGGCAGCCGCCGGGGCCCCTGGCCCACTGGCCATGCGGCCCAGCCCCGCCGGGTGAAGTCCCGGCCGCCCGGCCCGGCAGGCCGCACTGCCGGCCCGGCGGCCGGCCGCGGCGATGCCGCCCGGCCGGGACCGTCCGATCCGACGGTCGTCCCGGCGGCGGGCCGGGCCGGACTGCGCATACCGTACTGAGTACTGAGTCACTCACTGTGATGATAGGCCGGGCTTGACTGTCGGCCCCGATCAGAGGCCGCGCAACGGAGACGTACTGGAAAGATCCGACGGTTACAACAAACAACGTCTGACCGTTATGTCCGTTCCGACCCTCGTGCGAGAGTAACAAATATTATTAGTTTATAGAATAAAACTAAAATAAAGAAAAGCTACCCAATATCATTGAACAGTAGTAATTCTGTACTGAAAGTGTTTGGATCCTGAAATATAAATTTCGGTAGAGAGAAGTGCCTTTCCGTACAAGTAAGTTGGATCTTCAGTTTTAATTTGTTCGAATATCAAGAATCTAAACAATCTCTTATTAAGATCTGATTTAAAAGAATACCACATAAAGAAAAACTGTACTGTCAATTCTAAAACTTCACTTATAATTCAATATATAAACATTTAGAAATTCCAACCCTCCCCACCCTCCACCCCCTTTCAAGCCGTCGGAAACACAAGGGGTACCCACCCCTCCATGTACCCTTTCAAATTACAGCAATTCAGTGGGTGCGAGTGACCACCCCCACCCCCAGTATATAGGGATCATACCCCCCGTTCCATCACCACCCCCATTCCCTCCACCTCCTCCTCCTTCACGCCGGCCCCCCCTTGCTTCATCCTCCCTTCTCAGCGCTCGCTCGCTCTCCGCCTCCTCCTCTTCCTCCCCCACACCCTTCCACACGTCAGGCTCGCTCTCTCCCTCCTCTCCTCGTCCTTCTCCCCACCTCCTGGCGATTTGTTGACCGCAACTCGGCGTTGTCCCTGGCTGTAGCTGTTGTTTCCACCGGTCCTCCCTCCCGTTCACCGCAGCCTCCAATGCAGGCGGCGTTCTTTCTCCTCGCAGCACTCGCCTCGACGAGTGCTGTCATGGCACTCAAGTCGTCGGAAAGTCTTTCCTCAATCCAGAATGCCTTGCAATACTCTCAGGTACCTGGCCTCCATTTCATCGCTTTTTCGCCACCTCCGTTCTGTTACTTGTATCCTTGGCGTGTTGGCCATAGATCTCTTCCCTTATCCCCCGATCCTCGTTGATGCTCTCCCTCTATCCCGTGATCCCGTCGTGTCCCTCGCTTCCTCGCAATCCATGACAACCTTTGTCTTCCAGGGCATGGCCTACGTCGAGCGCACTGCTTTCGTTGGAGGGCAACTCGGCAGAGTGTCGTCGCTGAACGCAGGAGCGGCTGTCTCAGCTCCTTCAGCTCCTCTCCGCGTCTCCTTCTGTCCTGTGGCGATGGAAGGCGGCAAGAACTGCATGCGGATGTACCCCCCGAGCCTCCGCGTCACAAGGTGGGGTGGAGCTCAGCGCAGCCGCCAAGTCGTCCTCCATGCTGGCAACCCCGAGCAGGTGCTGTGCGCCCTGCTGTTCGCGCATTTCTATCCCTCACTCTTGCTCCTGCAGGAGCCGACTCCCGTCGAGGCTGAGGTCGTCAACGACGAGGTCTTCGACCCCCTCGGTCTGGGAGGAGGAGCAGGAGCCAGCGGCGATTTCGATGCGAACCTTGCTCAGAGGAATCTGTGGGAGGCCGTGAAGGTCCGTAGATGCTCTAGGAGAAGAGAGGGTAGAGCCGTTGGGCTGAGCAAGAGGTTGTCGGGGGGAAGGGGGAGAGGAGGAGGAAGAGTGGAGGAGGAGGAGGAGGGGAACTGAAGGAGGAGCAGCTCGGAGACACTGAGAAGATTGCCTTTGCCGTGAGCAAGGGAGCCGACATCAACCACAAGTACAGCGAGGAAGGAGACGCGTCTGCCATCCAGTGCGCTGCCTTGAACGGAAACACTGATGCGGTCCTGCCCTCTCCCCTTCCCGTGTCGCCTTCGAGCTCCCTGTCCCTTCCCCCTCCGTCTCTCTCCCTCCCGCTCCTCTCTCCTCTCTCCCCTCTCTCCTCTCTCCCTCTCTCCTCTCTCCCTCTCCCCTCCGCCCTCCTCTGTCTTCCCCCCCCCCTCCCTCCTCTGCGTACCTGCCTTAATCGTCGTGCCACAGGTGGCCAAGCTCGCATCGCTCGGAGCGAATGTCAACCAGTGCGACAAGTACAAGTGGACGGCTCTGCATGACGCGGTGAGAGGAGGAGGAGGCGATGGGAGGGGCTGATTCCCTGCCAGGCCCTCAATGGGCACACGGAGACCGTGGCGAAGCTCGTGTCGTTGGGAGCTAAGGTAGAGGAGGAGGGGGAGGAGGAGCTGTAGATAAGTGAAGACATCAGGTTGACGCCAAGACTGACGTCGAGGATGATGCTCCTGGCGCTGGACTCCGTACCCCTCTGAGCAACGCCGCCATGAACGGTGAGGAGGAGGATTGAACAGAGAGGGAAGGAGAAGGAGGAGGAGGAGCCTGATCGACTTTCTCTTGCAGGTCACACCGAGACTGTTCGCAAGCTTGTCTCTCTTGGAGCGAACGTGAATGTGAGGAGGAGAAGGAAGAGGAGGAAGAGAGGATGATGATTGCGAGCAGGAGAGGCAGAAGGATGGGTGGACTGCGCTTCACTTCGCTGCAAGAAACGGGTGGGAGGAGACGGTCGAGGCTCTGGTCAAGCTGGGCATCGGTGCGGCAAAATCAGGCCGCCAGCTGAGCTGAGAAGTTTTGACAGACCCAAATGTCAAGAATGACGTCGATATGACTGCCCTGGTAACGCTCCTGCTCTTCCCCCTCCCTCCCTGACCGTTTCCGCTCCCCCCTGTCTTCGTTTCTACTTGCATGGCTCCCTTCTTCTCGTCTCGTACTTACATGCCCTTCCCTTCAGCATTACGCCGCTTGGGATTCAACCATTGAGACCTGTCAGAAGCTCATCGACCTGGGTAGAAACTCCTCCTCCTCCTCCTCCTCCTCCTCCTCCTCCTCCTCCTCCTCCTCCTCTCATTTTTGTGTTTTAGGTGTCGATGTGAACCATAAGGCCAAGGGAAAACTTTCAGCGTTGGAGCTCGGTGAGTATTCGAACTCGCATGCTCGACCAGGTGCTGATGTCATTGCCCCCTCCTCTCCAGCCCGCAAAAGGAGACGTGAGCTAGCAGGAAACAAGATCGCTGAGCTCTTGGAGAAGTACTCTGACGTGGTAAGACACGCTAAGGAGAGGAGGACTCTGAACCGAGTCGCTAACGTGGTTCACAGGAAAAGCCGAGCATGGAGGATGAGTCGAGTCCGGTAAGAAGTTGAGGGAGGAAGGGAGATAAGTTGTTTACCGTCCTCTCCCTCCCGCAGAAAACTTGGGAAGAGTGGGCTCCTGCTGACCCTGAGTGGCGCAAGGTGACCTGATGCCCAGCCCCTCCTCCTCCTCCTCCTCCTCATGACTCCTCTCACGCTCTCTCTGTCTCTTCCGCCTCCCTTTGCCACTTCCAGCTGCCTCCCTCAGCTGATGCTGACCATGTTTGCAGCTTATCGCGAACGATCCTTACGCACAGTCGATCACGGGAAGAGAAATCTAAACATTACGAAGAACAGCCAAGAAGCCAGAAAACTCTCCTCCTCCTCCTCCCTCTCCCCCTCCTCCTATTATTGAGGTCAATACTCTTGCTGGAAATAAGGTTCCGCCGTCCTTCAGGACGGTGTAGTGAGGAGGAAAGGCAGACCGAGGAGATACTTTCTAAGAGAAAGAGTTGAGTTGTTTTCACGGATCAGTTTATTGTTGAGCTGAAGAAACAAAACAAGATATAATAACATTGATCTCCCTCTCTCTCTTCCTATGTACAAGGCAGCTTTGGCCCAATTTCACATCTCAACTTTGACGAACGAAGCTGTTGATCACATCATATGTACAAGCAAGTGCAAATTCAGCCTAGGTCATCATAATCGTACTCATCATCATCTCCATTATAAAGAATCCAATCATCATCATCACCATCATTCCTTACATCAAGCGGTCTATAACATCCACTTAATCCCCTAACTTCATCCTATCTCGTCGTCTCTCTATACATGTCGCTCACCATCACCATCACCATCACCGTCCTCATGCCTTGATGGACAACTCACACACAACATTTGGGTTCGATGAACTCACAGCAAAGATTGAAGCCGGCTTCTTTTGAAACCAAAGCCTGTAAAGAAAGTAAGGTCGATGTTGTAAACTACATCATCATCATCATCATCATTCTCGATCATCATCATCAGCATCAGCATCATCATCATCATCATCATCATCATCATCATCATCATCATCGTCATCTCACAAGTCTGCTCTCTTCTCCGGATTCAGAACCATCCCTGACACATCTCGCAGTATGACGCAAACTTCTGTCATTGACATGTCTTGCGCAGGACAGGACCTCGTCCTCCTCAACCCGTCCTCCGACTGAAAGCATGCCGCCACTTGCTCCATAATGGTATCTTGTGGATTCTGATCAGGGTTGGGAGCCAGCTCAAGGAATACGTCCAGGCCCCTGAGGAGGAGGATAAGAAGAGGAGGCGAACAAAGAGGGCATGGAGCAAAAGCTTGCCAAGGAGCAGGAGCACGAGAAAGAGCAGGAGCAACAGAAGGAGCAGGATAAGGAGCAGAAGAAACAGCTGGAGAAAGAGCAGCAGGAAGAGCAGCAGAGAGAGCAGGGCTCACTTGTGGATGGTGAGGTACTTCTGCAGCAGCCGTGACTTGGTGAGGCTCTCCCGGTGCTCGAAGTCAGGCACCCACACCAGCACGTCCCGGTCGACGTGATTCGCGAGAGTCTGACTGAGGAAAAGGCGCTGAAGCCGCTTAATGATCCGAACCTTAGCCTTGTGAAGGTGCTGCTGTGCGTGAGGGAAGATCCTGCTGGTGAAGGATCGCCAAATCAACCCAGGGCGCCATGAAGAAGGGAGCAGGTGCATATGATGATGAGAGCACGAGTTGGTCTAGTCTGGTTGACGGACGCGAGTGTTTCTTGGATCCTCCTTCACTTCCCTCCAATAACCTCACAGCTTGGGGTATCGATGGACAGACCTTGAACTTGTTTCTTGACTTATCTTGTTTCTTGACTGCCTTCTTCAACCCGCGTTCTCTCTCCTCCCTCTCCTCTCTCGTATCTCTCCCCCTGCCTTCTCCCTCTGCCTTTCTCAATCCCTGACTCGTTCAACCCAACGAAAGACGTTCCTTCTGCCTTTGATCACTGCTTGAATGGTCTCCTACTACAATCTCCTTCTACTCTCTTGTCCTCTCACTGCCCTTGAAGGTTTCTTCTCCTCCTTCACGCTTCGATGCTCTCCGGGTCTGCAGTTTGATAGGTCAGAACTCGAAGAAATCTCACTATAATCCATTTCAATCGCAATCTTCTCCCTAACTCCAGTACCAACAGGATACGCCTCTCCTCTTCCTCTTTCCTTCGTCTCGTCTGACCTCCGACGCTAGTTTACTCCTTACCCACCTCGCCCCTCTACTTCTTGCTCTTCGAATCACTTGTTTTTCTTGCTACTTGACCGTATTCGTTTGCTCGTATTAACTATCAGGATGCGTAGAAGTAGCAGGAGGACAAGACTGAGTCAGACTACATAGGAGGCGGCGAGGAGGAGGAGGAGGAGGAGGAGGAGGAGGAGGAGGAGGAGGAGGAGGAGGAGGGGAGGCGTCGAGGGGAGGAGGGGGGACGAGGCGCTGGGGTGCATGGTGAACATCTTGTATCTCGCAGTTGCAAATTTCATCACTTAGCCACATCGCAAGAGGGGTGGGGGTACAAAAAGGGGGGGGTGGGGGTGATAAGAAGGGTATTGTAAGCTCACCCTTCAGTACAGTGCCACATTATGTATAGAGGGGTGGGGGTGGGGGGTTCAGAATACCGGTACAAATGCATACCAAAGAACCGGTATTTTATAGCAAGAAGTCGAGTTCGTTCCACTACCATTCAATGTTTTACAAAGATCGATTTGAAGGGGTGGTGGTTACATTGGGGGGGTAGTGGGTGCGAAACAAGGGCAAGGAAATGGAATCGGTCGAATTGAAAGGGTGGGGTGATACATGACCGGTGCTAAAACCATCATTTGAGGGGGTAGTGTTAGAGCAGTGACACCAAAGGGGAGGGTGGCATTGGGGTTAGTATGGAGGGAAACGAGGGGATACGTGTAGTAAAATAGTTTTAGATTATGAAAAGCCCTATCTTTGAGTGTGTTCGCAAACAAATAGTTGTAGAAGTGGTAAAATCCCACTTTTTACTCCATTATTTCATTGATTTTATTTGTAAGAACTTGGAAAGGAGCTATTTCGATTCATTTCCGTTAGCTGTGGTCATCACTACGAGTCATGGTCCGAGTAAATTTAACTAAACATTTCAGCCAAACATAACGGAAGGGAGGGGGATGAGGGCTTATGTATGTGGGGGGATGAGGTCAGGAAATGCGAAGGGGAGGAATGAGTGGGGATGTGGTCTGCAGGACCCTCTACGATGAGGGGGTAGAAGAATAGTATTGAGGGGGTCCAAATATATGAGGAGGTAGAGGGGGTAGAGGATCTTCATGCAGGCGCCAAATCGGCGCTGGGAGGAGGGGAGTGGGAGAGGATGGGAGAGGAGGAGGAGGTAGAGAGAAGTATGTATGATGCTGAGGCAGAGACGATGAGGAGATGGTACAGGAGGAGGACGTGTATGTTAGCCCCGAGGTTGTAGTTGAGAAGAAGCGTGGAGGGTATGCGCAGAATTTTGAATGTCAGAGAGGAGGAGAGGGAGAAGAGCGCAGATAGTGTAGGTGCGTCTCCGGGCTAGAGGAGACAGGATTGACCCGATCATGTCTGCACTGCGAGCATGTGGGTCTGCACATGGCTTGAGAGAGCGACGAGAATGATGGTTGACTTGCAAGTGACTCTCTCGCTTCTTACAGAATCTGTGGCTGGAGCACCAGCGATCAACAGGATGAGACCTGCCGCCGAATTCAACCTGCTGCCTCCTAACAACCTGGGAAGCAATCGCTTCATAGCTGAGAGGATATTCGCCCGCTATGTCCGGGCTGTGTTCTGGTACTCCCAGGCGTTCATCTTCTTCCTCCCTGCCTTGTCCGTCTTCGTTCATCCTCACGGAGCTCTGGCACGTGGGATGTGGAGAAACGTCTATATAGGTAGCTCGCAGGTCATGATCGCATGCAGTTGGACGATCGCCTACTACTCGGGCAAGAGAGTTCCCAAGGCTCGCACTGGGTTCGGTGAGCCAGCGAGGAGGGGAGGGGAGGGGAGGAGAGAAGCTGAATACCTTGCTCTTGGATGTTGCAGCTGTTGGATGGAAGTTGGTATGCCATGGGACGCTGTTTGTGCTCGCTCTCTACTTCCTTCCCTCGAGGCAGTCGTTCTTCGCGTACCTGGTCGCCTCCGGGCTCTACTCCTTCCTTGTTCTCGTCTTCCCAAGTCCGGACTTGTCCCAGAGAGTGAGCAGCTGCCCACCTTCTTGCTGGGCGAAACTCACGAGGCCTCCAGCTGTGGCTGATGTTCAGCTCCGTCTGCTTCAATCTCTTCTCCCTCGCTCTCCTTCGCTACATTTCGTCGGTGAGTGGGCACCCCTCTGCCATGTTGGACTGACGGCTGGGCAGGTGGCGGTGGATCAAGCAGGCAGCGTGTGTAGGAAGAAGAGCCTTGTCGACATCTGCGGGTTGTGCAATGATGCATTCTGTACAAGAGATGACGATGATGATCATGATGGAGATGGAGATGATATTCGTGGTGATGGTGGTGGTGGTGGTGGTGGCGATGGTGAAAGTTGTATTGATAGATGATGTGATGACAACGACGATGATGTTCATGGTCAGGCCCAACGGTTGTGTAGACTTGAACTTTGCGGCGCAAGGGATCGCAGGTCGATGGGTTTGCGGGAGTCCGGGGGATTGCTGACAAACGACAACCAGTGGTGATAAGCTCGATAATACGAGGTTCTGTCCGAAGATGCGCCGCTCAGTTTGTCCAGACCCCTCTCAATGTGAGAAGTAGGGGAGGAGAGGAGAGGAGAGGAGAGGAGAGGAGAGGAGAGGAGAGGAGAGAGGATGGAGAGAGGATGGAGAGACCTGAAGGGGAGGCAAGATGAGGAGAGCGGGAAGAAGAGGGGATGTAAATGTTGGCAAACATTTTCCTTCTCCCTCATTTGCCTTTTCTTGTTTGCAGTTGCCAAAATCAATTCGTATGAAGCAAGAGATCTCCTCGTCCTTGTCAAGGTTTGTGCTGCCTGAAACTCTCGTTCCTCCTCCTCCACCACCACCACCACCTCCTCCTCCTCCCCCCCTCCTCCTGCTCCTGCTTTCCTGCTCCTCCTCATTCTCATCCTCTCCCGATCATCGTATCATCGTCACTGACTTAACTCTCTCAGATCGCTGACCATTGCAACCTACGGCGCCTTCTGCTCGCTCTTCTTCCTCTGGGTCTTCGCCCGCGTCGTCGTGCTCTCTGTGCTTACCTTCCAGCAGGTCTCCTTGTCCAGCGGAGGAAGCGACTTCCTCTTCAACTCCCCCGTCTCTGCCTTGGCATGGACGGACGTGCGAATCTGCGAGCAGGGAGGAGCGGGAGGGCTGGACGATGGCTCCTCCCCATCCTCGGAGGCCGCGAGCCTGCTCAGCTTCTCAGGAGGGAGGCTGATGAAGCAGCTGGCGCTCGTGCTCGGGTTGAAGCTGGAGAGGGAGGGGGACGGGGATGGGCTCAGTGGTGGGGAGAAGCTGCTGTGGACGTTGAGCTCGGCGCCAGCGGTCATGAGCGTGTGCGTAGCTCTCCTGCTCTGCGAGCTGCTGCTGGACGCGGCGGTGGAGTGTTGGGTTACGAGCGACTTTACCTTGCAGGTCTTGCGCACGAGGAGGGAGGGAGGGAGGGAGGGAGGGAGGAGGAGGAGGAGGAGGAGGAGGAGGAGCTGACAGCCATACAGGATAACAGTGTGAAAGATGCACTTGAGAGAATGCAGCCCCTTCTTGGTAGAAGCTCTGCTCCTCACCATCCTCCTCTCCCGCCGCTGCCCCTTCCCCCTCTTTGTTTCTCTCCCTCTTCCTCTCCCACTGTCTTTCCTCCCTGGTCCCTCCTCCCCCCTCTCAATCCTCACTTTGCTTCAGGAACGATCCTCAGGATGAACGCATCAGCATCCTCGGCAAGCAAGGATAACCTTCTCGCCAAGTTTCACTTCGTCCGGTAGCTCCCACATACTCACCTTACCGTCCAGAACCTGTTCCTCTCCCTCCTCCCTCCTCCCTCCTCCCTCCTCCCTCCTCCCTCCTCCCTCCTCCCTCCTCCGTCTCCATCTCTCTCCCGTCATCCCTTTCCTTCTCACCATCACGACGCAGAGCGGCAGCTTTCAAAGAGCTTCAGTCGCTCTCCGAGCATGAAGTTGGACGCCTCATGCCGCTTTTCAGCTCCTCCTCTAGCGGGTAATATGAACAAGGAGGGAGAGGGGAGGAAGAAGAGAAAGTGGGAAGAAGGAGGAGGAAGGAATGTTGGGGAAGGGTCGATATCCAATGGAGAAGGAGGGGGAGAGGACAGAGTAGCGCTCGACTCCTTCACCTCGCACGAGCTTGACAAACTTCGAAAGGATGCTGGAGGGGCTGGTGGGGAAGCACCTGGAGACTCTGAGGAGCTTCTGCGACACTTTGCGGGTCCAGCTGGCGAAGGCCGAGGGCATCCGTGCTGAGGTGAATCTGTCCCGCCAGCTGGTGGTCAGCAGGGCTGAGGTGACGTGGCAGGTGGAGAAAAGCGCCATGGCCGACAAGCTGGGAATACCGGGACAGGTCTGTGCGGAAGTGCCGAGCTATCACTGAAGACTGAATCCTCCCCTTTTCCTCCTCCTCCTCCTCTTCCTCCTCCTCTTCCTTCTCCTCCTCAAACTTCCCCCTCTCCCCTCCACTTGGTCTCCTCTTCCTCTCTCCACAGGGTCTTCTGGGGCAGGCGCTTGGGATCGACTCGTGGATGATGGGAGCAGGGATGAGCACGAGGCTGCAGCTGCTGCAGAGGGAGCTGAGAGCCTGCTGGTCATCGACAGATCTCCTCCTGTCGTGTGGTGATTGCCTCTGCCTGCATGTCGTACTTCTGACAACATTCCTCCTCCTCCTCCTCCTCCTCCCCCTCCTCCTCCTCCCCCTCCTCCTCCTCACTTTCCCTCGCCCTTCTCGCTCGCTGCTCGTCTCTACAGGCTTCCGTCTCAAATCGAGTGCGGAAGTTACCGATCAATGACCTGCAAATCATGTTGTCACTGATGTTAATTGCTTACAGTCTATATGTCAATTGTCTCCGTGGTTGAATTGTTTTCAGTGCCTGCGACGCATGTCTGTTAACGGGCCCTCCTCCAACGTGCAATAGCTGCATGCATCTCTGTTGTCTTAGTGTTGCGTAGCTGTGAAGCTGAAAGGGGTGGATCTGCGAGCGCT